TTACACTGCTAAGAAAAGCACCAAAACCAGTTCAAGGCACACAAAAGGACTTTCCTTTGCCATTCTGTAAGAAATCAGAGCACCTGTGCTCAGACATGGAGATACCTGTTCTCCAGGACTCAGATTTGTTTCCTTCCTGTGATATATTGGTATTCAGAGCATGCTGCAAAGCATATTTATTTGCCCCTGCTTCTCCTGAGGCGTGCTTGGGAGACAGAATTCCACATTATCTTCAGTTGGTATTAGTTCAATTGATTTACCTGTAATTTTGCAGTTATTTGTTGTCTGTGTTTCTAGGTCTGTTGTGACCTTTTACAAGTGGAAATCATAAATAACTCCAGTTTGTGGAGACTCATACAGCAAAAACTAAACAGCTTTTAAGTTATTCCTCCAGCTGCCAATACATTTCAGGTCCAAACTGTGCTCAGTCCCATGGACTGGATAGTATCACCCAAACAGGGAATCTTGAGCATTACTTTAGCATGCATATACAAATATTTGCTGACAGATTAAGAACTGGAAATAACTCTACTTCTGAGTTAAATGGCAGATATGGGAGAAAAAAAAAGAAAAAAAAATAAGGTTTTAAGCATGAGGAAATGCAGGCTGGGTAAGGAGAGTTGGCAACCTTGTAACTTCTGCTTGGCACTTCAATCTGCTGACAGACATCTACTTTGCATTCCAGGAGAGGCAGGCTTGCTGCAGCAGCCTTCAGCTGGCAAAGAACTTCCTTACAAACCTTGGCCCAGGGATGCACTGTGGCTGTAGGAGCCTAAGGAAGAGTTATTGGTAGGAAAGGATCTAAGGACACCAAGAATCAAGTGAAAGTGTCCCTCTACCCTTCCTCCTCTGTTGGGACATGGGAGTTCAAGCTCAAAGTACACATCCCCTGTCAGATCCAAGTACAAGCTCTTCTTTCTTAAAGGGGAATTTATTTTTTTTTTTTAATCCAAAGCAGCCATATTTCCCTCTACTCAATATGGTGGATGAAGCTAATTGTCATTAGTATATCCTTGGTCAGTATCTAAAGACACAGAGTTAGGTTAGGAAGGATTTGTACAAGTTTATAAAGCCTCAAACAATTTTAGATCCAACTGGCTTGCAGGTCAGAGTGGCCAACCTGCTGGCAAGTGAAGTGTTCCATTTGAAAGCCAGCTGAAGCCTGGTGGAAGGTGGAAATGCAGGAGCTTTCTCTGCCCTGGCACAACTTTGTGTTTACTTACAGCACAAAGGCTGCTATTGCTGCCTGTAGCAGTTTAAATACCCTAAATTCAATCCCTGGCTTATTTTGCTGTCTGATTACTCTTACTGTTTTTTAATTAAGACACATTTTGCTCATGAACCCACACAGAACAAAAGTAAACACCTTCTCCCACCCCTCCCAGTACCCTCAGAAAACCTGTATTTGAAAGCAGTACTTAAACCCTAATCAGCAAGTTTTCTCCCCACCAATGCTTAAAGCAATATTAAAAAAAGAGAAAAAAAGAAAAAAACAGGCCCAAAAATCAAGAGCTGTACATTTCTAGCACTTCAATCAACATTCAGAACCCCAAACAGCAGACTGAGGATGCCTTTCCCAAAGCTATTCCCAGTCAGGTTTCTCTAGCATTAGGCATTTTTACTTATTTGTCATGTTTTCAAAGGCAGAGCAGTACTGTTTTCCAAACCTGGAAGGGCAGACTAAGGCTGTTGAACAAGATCCATTCCATTGTTATTTTGTAAATCTTAGTCACAAATGGTGGGTTATGGGCTTAATAACACACACATGCTCAAGCTGAAACACCTGCAACATCCATTTTTCTTGAGTGGCCACCAGACAAACTCAATGCTTACTTTTGTGATAAGGCTGCACAAACATTTTCATCCATGCCTTCTAAACATGATCAGTAAGATGATAAATGTGTGTGTTTACAGACAAGGAACTATTTACATTCAGGTCACCTTAATATGCCAGATCTGGAAGGGAAGGAAAAAAGATTTGTACAAGTGGCTAATTCCTCCAAAATAATAATATTCCTGTGTCCAAGACAACTGGCATGCTATCTTGGGTGAACAGCAGCTTCCTTTGTTTACAGAGCTCTTGTTCAACAATCATTAATAATAATAAATAAATAATTATTAAAGTACAAGACACCATTTTCACCAGTCTTCAATTCAGGACAATGTAATGCAATCAAAATTTCATGTCTTTCCAGAGTTTTGGAACAACAGCTGAGTGTTGAAAAGGTAATAAAAAACAACATTTCTATCTGCAGCAAGAATGCCATGGAATTTGAGTTATCAGTGATAAGCTGATAGAGTGATATCAGAGATGGCTGATGGAGAAATATCACTGATAAGCTCTACAAGAGGGCACTGAGCTGCCAACTCCACATAAGTAGCTTTACAAATATCTGGACTGCAGCAACTCTTTGAAAATAACTGCATGCTTGAAATAGTCACTGTCGAACCCATTCCACAAGAGATAAATCATGCTACTAAGAGAAAGCAATAAAAATAAACAAACCAAGGTTCCAGGGAATTCCTCTTGTTTTACAGTGAATTAGCAGAAGCACTGTAATGAATTTGCTCAAAAATTGACAAGGAAAGGCTAAAGCAGAGGGGCAGAGGCCAGCTCTCCTGCATTCTAACGCAGTCACTGTCTGCAGGATCATCCTTCATACTCCTGAAAGTGGGTTGGTTGCTTGCTCAGGGCAGGAGCCAACCATAGCAACTGACTGAACTGAGTTCCACTTAAGAAAAAATCCAGAATTAGGTCACTTCTGGCCATTATCAAAAGAAAAAGAAGCAGCAGTCCTTAAATACTGCCAATGCTTCAACTCCACATATTTATAAAACAATCTTTTTAGTTAATGACCACCCAGTAGAGCTGCACCAGTTAGAAATGGGTCCCCACCTCACTCCACCAGGAAAGCCACCAAATTTTGTGACTGGCAGCCCCAAGCAGCTCAGCCCTCGTGGCTCTGCCTCCACACAGAGAGGCACAATCACTGCCCAGAAATGTGCACATTTCTGCCACTGTGCTTCTCATAAAGAGCCTCCAAATCACAGCAGCACTAAGGAAACCACTGATTCCTACACGCCACTCTTACAAATCTACCCATAGTGTCTTCCTTACTCCTCAGTCTCAAACTGAAGAATCTTTCAAAAATTATTAATCAGCTTTCATTAGCTCTAAATTGCTTTTCCTTGCTTGCAATTAAGGACTAATATCCAAAGAGTTAGAAATTTATAAGGTGATTAACCGTAATGAGTGATTAACCATAGTATGATCAATTGCTGAATATCAACAGATATCTTTGTTTTTTCCCAATAAACTTTTTTTCTGTATGTATTTGCACAAGCTTGAAAAGGAAGATTTATTTAGCAGAGATTGAGCATTCCCCAGATAATAGCATATGTGTCTGTTCTTTCCCCAGAAGGCAGTTAGCTATAGACAAAAATATCTGCAAAACAGAAATTAGTGTGGATTCAGGAGGATTTAAGGTGACACTGACATGATCAAAGATCTGTTTGTACATGTGTAAAGTATATTTCAAGTTCAGAGAAAGGAACACAGAAAGCACACGCATGTTGTGATCAACTCCTGTACAGGACAAGTACCTGCTAAGCATGTGCAAATATCACCATATAAAATATATTTCCTTTCCTTGTGCTTCCATTCAATTAAATGTTGGTCATCAAAATATTCCTGAGCAGTCAGTAGCATATTAAGCACTGCCTGGGTTAAAATATCAAGCCAAGTGAATGAGTTGGGTCCAAGGTTATAAACAGGAAACAAGATTCTTTTTCAGCCACTCCAGCATAATATCAAAAAGCTTTAGTTATGTTAACGAAACCAAATTTCTGAAAGAAAAAATATTCACTAATCTCACATATTTCCCTACTTGTGGCATCCAAGGTAACACAAGTGCAACTCACTCAATACACTCAAAAACCTGTGAAAGATAACCCCACTTGGGTGTTCATCAAGTAAATCTTAGACAAGAAATTGCAGGTCAACACTCACTAGAGAAGGAAACCTGATCCTTAGAGCAGAGCTTGTCACTCACAGTAAAAGCTGGAAACTCCAAGTCAGCTGCACTCTGCAGGGTACTCAGAAACTCTTCTTGATAAGAACACATCCCCAGAACACAACCAAGAACTTATTTCATCAGTATTTTCCTCCATTTTCCTTCCTGCAAAGGAGGAAAACTCACTCATAGGAGGA